CATGTCTGAGGTGGTAGCATTCTAATAGTATTAGAGTAGTGCGCGTTCGTATGTAAACTAATGATACCTCCGGTAAACATATGTGTTCTTTTGGTATGTAAACCGATGATAACTTGATCTTTTGGATGAAGCACTTCTTCCGTTTTTAGTGGATGTGTTCTTCTACTTGCCAACATGATCATGCATTGACAACTGTTTATTGTTTTGCTGGTTCTGAGCTTCATCCATCGAAGATTCAAGGGAATCTCTGTGCATTTTTTCCCTCAAAACCTTTTTCATGAAAACAATATGTGGATGTTGCATTGTCACACTCAAATTGCTGGAAGCTCACAGAAAATAGCTACAACCTTCTGTTAGATTTGTTGCAGGGCCAAAATATACATTTTACCTGCAAATTAGCTACATCCCTACAATATTTTTGCTGGAAGCATAATGTAAATAAGCTTCCTTTCCCAACTCTTGTTGCATAGCAAAATCAACACTTTAAATCATTCAAGGCTTTTCCTTTTCAAACTTGTTATTTTGCTTCAAGCATGTTTAAAAAAGCTTCAACCATTGTTTGAAAAAGCTTCAACCATGTTTTCCAAAAGCTTCAACCATTATTTTGCTTCAAGCATGTTTAAAAAAGCTTCAACCATTGTTTGAAAAAGCTTCAACCATGTTTTCCAAAAGCTTCAGCCATATTTTCAAAAAGATTCAACCATGTTTTCCAAAAGCTTCAACCATGTTTCCTACAAGCTTCAACCATGTTTACAGAAGCTTCAACCATGTTTTTAAAATGTTGCAACCATGCTTTTTCAGAGAGCTTCAAAACATGTTTTCAAGGATATTCAACCATGTTTTTCAAAAGTTGTGGTAACAACAACCATTGAGTACTATTTTACAAAAAAACTTAGAAGTTGGCACCATCATAATTCAAAAACCAACATTCTGCATTTTGAAACCACACATGTAGTAATATGTTGCAATCCCAAAACACAAACATTCACAACTAGTCAACACAACTTTTTATCATAAGACATGGGGTGTTACAAGGTAATTCATCATTTTTTCCCTCACGAAACATCCTAAAGTGTAAGGATTGGGCCGACACCCGGAGCTTTCGCGCTCGCACTCGCAACAAGAAAAGCGGCAAGGAGTTGGCAGTTCTTCACGTTGTGATCCTCATCTTCACAATATTTGCATGGAGTCTTCTTTTCCCTTGGCTTTGGAGCTTTCTTCGTTTTCGTTGCGTCCTTTTTTGCTTTCTTCTTCATTTCATCTTCTCAAAGCTCAATTAGTGGCTTCCTTCGCTTCTCTTTTTCTTTTGGCCTCCCCTTCTTTGCTAACTTTGGTGGGTTTCGTAGTCCTACGGGGGGTGGATCCTGTTGCCCTGTACTTGGACCCCCTGAGAGTTGTTCATTTGCTGCATGACCTTGGGCTTCTTCGTCTCCTGCAACTTCATCGGTCGCTCTAGCTTTTATTGCAGCAACCCCAACACTGCCCTGATCAATTAGCCCAGAGACAAAACTATAAGCTTCATCATTGAAGCATGCATCAGAAGCGAGTTTCCCAAACTTTCGGCAGAGAGAGTTAAACTTTAGGGTGTTTGTCATGGGGACGCCGAAATGCATAGCTCTATGCCCATCGCCTGATTCAGGTGCAAGGTCGGTTGCTCTCTTAGACCATCTTGGAAGCATGTAATTCGCAGGTATCGCTTGCACGTTCAGGTGCACCATAACACGGATGATATGTGGGCAGATCAGCCCACACATCTCAAACATGTTGCAACTACACATGTATGTATGATCTTCAAGGGCAACACGCACCGTGTACACTTTAGGGTTGATCCCATCATTTGCAACAACGCGAAACCAGATGACATTCCCTTGCAGCTGGTATTGCAGCCCATAGCCTGTTGATTTAGCCAATAGTTTCTGAAACTTGGAAAATACCTCTCTAGTATAGAAATCTGTTGCCTGCTTTTTAATGTTGTAACTGCAAACAAAAAAGCTTCCAACATCAATAAGAATTGCTACATATGTTTCATTGAAATGTTGCATCCAAACTGTACTGGAAACTAAAAAAATGCTACATGACTTTGGACTTACTTGCCCCAGAGTGGCGGCCTTGTCGCTTCATTGATGAAGCCCGCATTGTCTTCACGATCAAGCATTAGCTCCTGGCAAAGCTCAAACTGTTGCACAAATGTCCAAACCGAGTCTCCATGATGATTTAAAGTCTTGAAGTAGGAATTCAGGCCCTCGGAGCGCCCAGTTGTTCCTGTGAATGGGAAGAACTTATTCCTAAAATACACAGGAGCCCACATCTCCCTGCTGTTCCACATGTTTTTGAGGTGTTTCTTATCAGCCACACCAAATAACTCGACCATCTGCTTCCATCGTTCTTCAAACTCCTCAACGGTATCTGAACCGTTAATGCAACCATAGAATGCTTCTGCAAAAGGCTCATCCTTGCCCAGCATCTTCCCTAGTTTTGTCCTTGCAACCCGGAAGACGTGCCACTTGCAACATATGTGTGTTGAATCTGGAAATACCATTGAGATGGTTGTAGCCATTGCCTAGTCTTGATCAGTCATAATGTTCAACGGGTGCTCATTATTCATTGCCAACATCCATTGCTGGAAGACCCACTTGAAAGTTTCAATGGTCTCATCAGGCAACAAAGCAAACCCCAAGCAAACAGTGTGTGTGTGTGGTTGTTAATGCCAACAATCGGAGCAAAGGGCAAGTTGTAGCGATTTGTGCAGAATGTGGTGTCAAAAAACACACAATCTTTGTACTTTGGATACAAGGCCCTTGTTCTCCCATCAACCCAGAAAAGCGCCCTAACAGCTCCATCTTCTTCTAGCTTCGAGAAAAAGTTGGGATTCTCCACTTGTATTCTCTCAAAGTACTCGATTGTCAGCTCCAAATCACGTTCTGACAGGCCCCTTCGCAGCTTTGCTCTTGCATTTGTCACATCAGTCTTCACATACGGCAAACTACTTGGATCGCAACACCGTGCATCTCGAAGCAAGCCCATCATATTAGCCGTAGATATGTTGCGATAGTGCAGTGAAGTGATGTACTGCATGTCTGCATCCGGGATCTTTCTGTGAGAGCGGCAAAATCTCCGACGCCCCCTTTGCAACATCAGCTGGTGTGTGTGATCGGCCTCAAAAATTGTCACAACCCAGATACCATCTTTGAGGTTAACACCCATACGAGCCTTGCAATCATACCGCTCCAACCGGTTTCTTTTCCTCTTGTCGCTCACATCCATATAGATGCCAGCTTGTTTGCTTAGAGATTTTTTGTTACTAGCATAGCTCATATCAACATCATCACACTCATTTGTTGTAGCCCCGTCAGAAATGCTACCACCAACATTCTTCGAAGCATTTTTCTGTGAGTGTATGCACTCAAAAACTCTATAGATTAGAATGCGCTTCTGATCCGAGCTATTTTTCCTACTATGCTTTGATGTCACAATGCGAGTTTCAAAGCCCATCTTCGAGGTATATTCATTGTAAACACGTTGAGCTTCTTCAACATTGTCAAAAACCATTCCAACAAAAGGGACAACTGGTTGTGATGATATCTCTTCATCCGGTTCGTCAACAAGTGTTGCAGCATTTCCATTAGCATTGTCACTAGCCACACGGGCATTGCCATGATTTGGAGCTACACCATCGGTGTTCAGCTGCAACAAATCATCACCAAATTTCACGGAGTATCATTCAGATCAATGCCATCTTCTTCTTCTTCATGCGCAACATTTTGCATATCATCGTCAAGGAAAATTGATGGCTCAACAGCAATATTCTGCAACAAAATCAGCACCAAAGTCATTTTTTTTGCAGCGTGAAAAAACACGCAAAAAGCGCGAACAAAAAAAGTGGACGCAGCATGGAAATCATAATCCCAAAACAATTCCTGCATGCAGCATTTTAGGATGCAGCATGCAACATCCAGCAAGTAGCATGTACCAAATGCAACACATACTTGTAACATTTTACTAGCAGACAGCAGGAAAATGCTAGCATTAATTGACAACATCTCAGAAATATTACACAAAAATCAAACACAAGTATGTTGAGAACATATCTTTTTAATCTCACGCTCATCAATTGAAATCAAAGGTTGCAACATTTTTTTTTTTGAACAAAAGGATCTAGGATTTGCAATTGGAATTCATACCAGATCAATTTCATCCCGGCCATGCCGTGCTGCATCTTGGAAGACCACATCAGGGTTGTAGTACCGTTGCAACACCGGTCCACTACCACCAGGGCCTTGCCTCCTCAGGGGACTCCGGCCATGAACGGCAGCGAAGCTCGAGCCCAAATCCATGGCGGCAAGGAGGTCATGACGTATGTACGACATGATTGAAGCAATCCCAAGGCGGCTTGATAGGTGGGGGAGCCCCTCCTCGACGTGATTCGGCTGCGGGGAACGAAAAACAGGCGGATCCGGTCGCCACCGCCGCGGATCGGGGACGGGCAGACGCGGGGATCGAGCTCCCCTGTTTTTCTCGTTGTGGCTGTTCGTACAACGGTTGCAACAAAATGTGTTCTCTTTTGCTGTAACAGTTGGTTCGGTGGTGGCCTCTGCGCGGAAATCTAACGGTTCATGCTAACCGCATCGCACGGCTGGGGCTAGACCGGCCGAACAGTTCGGCCGGCGCGCCGGCGCAGATCACTACCCTTTCATAATTCAGTTTTTTATTGTAACATAACAAAATAGAAACAATGATTACAATGTAGGCATACAGACACTTACACCACTACCACACACACTCACACAACATCTATTGAAGATCGGGCGAACGAAAACACGCCTTCCACTGAAATAATATGAATTTTTTGTGGGCCAAGGGTATCACTATCCTGCTAACATCCTAGTACTGCTTGGTTCTTATTTTGATGTAAAATTGAAGGTAGCTACCACATCTTTGGAGCCGATACCGGCACTTAGCCTGCGTGGTAAAAATATGCTTCATTGTATAAGGAACTGCAGCTACTGCAATTGACGAGTGAATTTTGGGCGCCAAAAGGAGAGATCCATCTCATAGGGAAAGTAGACGAGCGCGTTCTGGGGCTCGCCCTTGCAAACCCCGCGAACCCTCCTCGTCGCCAATTCCAGCATGAAGTACCACGACAGGGAGCTCTCATTCGCGCCCGCCATCCGCACGAATACGTAACCGCTCTTCGCACCGAACGACCGCAGCTCGAGCCTCTCGCTCAACACATCGTCTTGGTGGATGCTCTCCGGCTCGACCAGCACCTGCATGGACCAGCCGTTGCCATCGTTCGAGTCAGACAACGTCCAGAGTGATATTTGTAGCCCGACGGCCACGAGGAGTTGCGGCTTCTTCCCTTGGCCGTCCGACACCAGGAGGAGCTCCCCCGGTCCGCGCCCGCGGAGCTGCTCGCCGCAGATTCCGCCGATTTTTGTCACGGACGCCTGAAGCTGCGCGCGGGAGAACCTCAGCAAGAAGTGGTACTCTGATGACCTGCACAGCCATTGGGCGTCGCCTTGGAGGACGAGAGCAGGGTGCAAGAGCGCGGCGTCCTGAGGGCACGGGGCCACCGCGGTCTCGGCGATGGGCTGCCACCGACTGTTGTCGTCGACCGGCGAGAATTCCTGGGTCTTAAGGCGGCCTGAAGCCAGCTCTGCGGCGACCTGGCGGTAATGGCAGGCGCGGTCGCCGTCGTCGCTCGTGAGCAAGACGAAAGATTGAGCGTTGATCTTCGGCGGCGGAATGCAGTTCACGTAGCCCGTCATGGGGTTGAACACGCACGTGCCGGGGGGGCCTCCGGACTCGGGGGTGTCGGAGCGGAGGGCGACGAGGCCACGGCTCGCCGCCAGCTCGGGATGGTAGAACTCGAAGATGCTGTCGTTATCCAACAAGAAGGAACGGAACGGCTCGGGGGACGGTTCCGTAAGGCGGACGGGGACGGAAAAACGGGGGGGCTCGATGACCTTGTTGGGCTGGTTCTGGACGAAAAAGCCGCGGAAGAACAAGGGCATGAACCGGTCGGCGCGGCGGAGGCGGAGGCGCGGGTGAAAGGCCGGATCGGCGATCTCCCGGCGGAGGTCCTTGCACGCGGCGGCGCAGCGCACGAGGGTTACAGGATCGGAGCGCGCCGAGATCTCGAGGAGGACGTCCATCGGGAGCGCCGACGATGACAGGGACGACGTCGACGCCTCCATTGTTCTTGGATTGGATCTCTGCAGCGGCCGGCGCCGATAATTATGGACTGCAATGGTTCGTGGGATACTCGGATACTAGGTTCCATGGTTGTTGGGATCGGATACGGGCAACGCTCTATCCCTGCTTCAGGCGGTCAGGCCCATAAAACGAGGATAGGTTGTTATTTTGACGTGGGCTTAACTGCAAATCTTCTTTTTTCGTGCGTGAGTTATATATATATGGCTTATAGACGTCATCATGTTTGGCGAACCCAACACGCTACGGTGGTCGGCGTGGTTCGCCGTCGATCTAAAGTTGGTGACGTCTCCCAAGTACCACCGGGGGGTGGTGGTGCTCCGCCCGCACACCACGACGGTACATCTCGTCGACAAGCGGGGGTGTACGGTTGATAGACGCTCGGGGGGAGGGATCGTGCTGACCCCGGGGGCTACGGTCGCGTTCCCCTGCCACGTTCCGCATATCGAGGAGGAAATCACCGGCGGGGATGGCGTCTCGGGAGCCGGCGATGGAGGTAATGCGGCCGGTGGGGGAGCAATAAGGCGGGTGGGGGATTAAATTCGAAGGAATTCGCTCAGATTATCCCTCATCCCACTCTTCCTCTCCCGCACGCCTCAAACACTGCCCTGCTTGCTCAAGTTCGCGGTGGAGATGGTGGAGATCGACGAGGAGAAGATGCAGAGGTTCGCGAGCAGGGATGCGCGCCTGCGGATCCGCCTGAGGGAGATTGGAGCCTGGTATATGAGCAAGCGCGATATGTATGCGGAGGCGGAGGCGATTGTGGAGAATCTGACGGACGCGGAGGAGAGGTCGTTGTTCGGGCGCGGCGGGCGCAAGCATCCGTTGCAGGTGCTCCTGTGGGCGGCGGATCAGGCGGATTCGCCGGTGAGGTCTGTGGCGAGGAAGTGGTGGCCTTCACCATCTTTGCGACTGCAAATCTCGCCCCCTGTTGGGGAACGTAGCAGAAATTCAAAATTTTCTACGCATCACCGAGATCAATCTATGGAGTAATCTAGCAACAAGGGGAAGGAGATGCATCTACATACCCTTGTAGATCGCTAAGCGGAAGCGTTCAAGTGAACGGGGTTGATGTAGTCGTACTCGTCGTGATCCAAATCACCAATGATCCTAGTGCCGAACGGACGGCACCTTCGCGTTCAATACACATGCAGCCCGGTGACGTCTCCCATGCCTTGATCCAGCAAGGAGAGAGGGAGAGGTTGAGGAAGACTCCGTCCAGCAGCAGCACGACGGCGTGGTGGTGGTGGAGGAGCGCGGTACTCTAGCAGGGCTTCGCCAAGCACTACGAGAGACGAGGAGGGAGAGAGGTAGGGCTGCGCCTTGGGAGAGAGAGACTCGTGTGTTGGGAAGCCCCAAAACCTCCACTATATATAGGGGCAAGGGGAGGGGAAGGCGCCCTAGGGTTTCCCCTAGGGGGGCCGGCGGCCAGGGCAGATGAGATCTCCCCTGTGGGTGACTTGGCCCCCAAGCCAGGAGGTGGGAACCCTGGATGGGGCGCCCCAAACCCCCTGGTCACGTGCGAATAGATGAGGGGGGCACACAGCCCCTTAGAGGGCTGGTTTGCCCCCTTCCCCTGGCCCATGAAGCCCCCCCAACACTTGTCGGGGCTCCCGAAACACCTTTCGGTCATGCTGGTCATCACCCGGTACCTCCGGAACACTTCCGGACTCCAAAACCCTTCGTCCAATATATCAATCTTCACCTCTGGACCATTCCGGAACTCCTTGTGACGTCCGGGATCTCATCCGGGACTCCGAACAACATTCGGTAACCACGTACATCTATTCCCTATAACCCTAGCATCATCGAACCTTAAGTGTGTAGACCCTACGGGTTCGGGAGACACGTAGACATGACCGAGACAACTCTCCGGCCAATAACCAACAGCGGGATCTGGATACCCATGTTGGCTCCCACATGTTCCACGATGATCTCATCGGATGAACAACGATGTCGAGGATTCAATCAATCTCGTATTCAATTCCCTTTGTCTACCGGTATAGTACTTGCCCGAGATTCGATCGTCGGTATCCTGATACCTTGTTCAATCTCGTTACCGGCAAGTCTCTTTACTCGTTCCGTAACACATCATCCCGTGATCAACCCCTTGGTCACATTGTGCACATTATGATGATGTCCTACCGAGTGGGCCCAGAGATACCTCTCCGTCACACGGAGTGACAAATCCCAGTCTCGATTCGTGCCAACCCAACAGACACTTTCAGAGATACCCGTAGTGTACCTTTATAGCCTCCCAGTTATGTTGTGACGTTTGGTACACCCAAAGCATTCCTACGGTATCCGGGATTTGCACAATCTCATGGTCTAAGGAAATGATACTTGACATTAGAAAAGCTTTAGCATACGAACTACACGATCTTTGTGCTAGGATTAGGATTGGGTCTTATCCATCACATCATTCTCCTAATGATGTGATCCCGTTATCAACGACATCCAATGTTCATGGTCAGGAAACCGTAACCATCTATTGATCAACGAGCTAGTCAACTAGAGGCTTACTAGGGACATGGTGTTGTCTATGTATCCACACATGTATCTGAGTTCCTATCAATACAATTATAGCATGGATAATAAACGATTATCGTGAACAAGGAAATATAATAATAACCAATTTATTATTGCCTCTAGGGCATATTTCCAACAGTCTCCCACTTGCAGTAGAGTCAATAATCTAGTTCACATCGCCATGTGATTAACACTCACAGGTCACATCGCCATGTGACCAACATCCAAAGAGTTCATTAGTGTCACTAAACTAGTTCACATCATCATGTGATTAAGACTCAATGAGTTCTGGGGTTTGATCATGTTTTGCTTGTGAGAGAGGTTTTAGTCAACGGGTCTGCAACATTCAGATCCGTATGTACTTCGCAAATCTCTAGGTCATATTGTAAATACTGCTTCCACGCTCCACTTGGAGCTATTCCAAATGGTTGCTCCACTATACGTATCCGGTTTACTACTCAGAGTCATTCAGATAGGTGTTAAAGCTTGCATCAACGTAACCCTTTACGTCGAACTCTTTATCACCTCCATAATCGTGAAACATGCCCTTATTACTCCAAGGACAATTTTGACCGCTATCTGGTGATCCACTCCTTGATCACCTTTGTACCCTCTTGCAAGACATGTGGCAAGGCACACATCAGGTGCGGTACACAGCATAGCATACTATGGAGCCTACGTCTAAGCATAGGGGACGACCTTTGTCCTTTCTCTCTCTTCTGCCGTGGTCGAGCTTTAAGTCTTAACTTCATACCTTACAACTCAGGCAAGAACTCCTTCTTTGACTGATCCATCTTGAACACCTTCATGATCATGTCAAGGTATGTGCTCATTTGAAAGTACCTTTAAGCGTTTTTGATCTATCCTCATAGATCTTGATGCTCAATGTTCAAGCAGCTTAATCCAGGTTTTCTATTGAAAAACACTTTCCAAACAACCCTATATGCTTTCCAGAAATTTTACATCATTTCGGATCAACAATATGTCATTCACATATACTTATCAGAAATTCTATAGTGCTCCCACTCACTTCTTTGGAGATATAAGTTTCTCATAAACTTTGTATAAACCCTAAATCTTTGATCATCTCATCAAAGCACATATTCTGACTCCGAGATGCTTGCTCTAGTCCATGGAAGGACCACTGGAGTTAGCATACCTTTTAGCATCCTTAGGATCGACAAAACCTTTTTGATTTATCACATACAACCTTTCCTTACGAAAACTGGTGAGGAAACTCGTTTTGAAATCCATCTGGCAGATTTCATAAATGCAGCTAATGCTAACATGATTCCGACGGACTTCAAGCATCACTACGGATGAGAAAAACTCATCGTAGTCAACTCCTTGAACTTGTGAAGAACTCTTCGCCACAAGTCGAGCTTCATAAACGGTGACATTATCGTCCACGTCCGTCTTCTTCTTAAAGATCCATTTATCTCAATGGCTTGCCGATCATCGGGCAAGTCCACCAAAGTCTATGCTTTGTTCTGATACATGGATCCTATCTCGGATTTCATGGCTTCTAACCATTAGTCGGAATATGGGCCCACCATCGCTTCTCCATAGCTCGCAGGTTCATTGTAGTCTAGCAACATGACCTTCAAAATAGAATTACTGTACCACTCTGAAGTAGTACGCATCCTTGTCACCCTACGAGGTACGGTAGTGACTTGATCCGAAACTTCATGATCACTATCATAAGCTTCTACTTCAATTGGTGTGGGCGCCACAGGAACAACTTCTTGTGCCCTGCTACACACTAGTTGAAGTGACGGTTCAATAACCTCATCAAGTCTCCACCATGCTCCCACTCAACTTTCCGAGACAAACTTTTCCTCGAGAAAGGATCCGATTCAAGAAACAATCCCTATTGCTTTCGGATCTGAATTAGGAGGTATACCCAACTGTTTTGGGTGTCTTATGAAGATGCATTTTATCCGCTTTGGGTTCGAGCTTATCAACCTAAAACTTTTCCACATAAGCGTCGCAGCCCCAAACTTTTAAGAAACGACAACTTAGGTTTCTCCAAACCATAGTTCATACGTGTCATCTCAACGGAATTACGTGGTGCCCTATTAAAGTGAGTGCGGTTGTCTCTAATGCCTAACCCATGAATGATAGTGGTAATTTGATAAGAGACATCATGGTACGCACTCCAATAGGGTGAAACTATGATGTTCGGACACACCATCACACCATGGTGTTCTAGGCGGTATTATTTGTGAAACAATTTTCACAATGTCTTAATTGTGTGCCAAAGCTCGTAACTCAGATACTCATCTCTATGATCATATCATAGAAATTTTATCCTCTTGTCACGATGATCTTCAACTTCACTCTGAAATTACTTGAACCATTCAATAATTCAGACTTGTGTTTCATCAAGTAAATATACTCAGTATCTACTCAAATCATCCGTGAAGTAAGAACATAATGATATCCACTGCGTGCC